TGAGTAATCCAGTGGTAAACCTTCGGTAAGCTAATAATCCGGTGAGCTAGTGAGTGATCTGGTGGTGAGCGAGTGATCACGTGGTGAGCTAGTGATCACGTGGTGAGCTAGTGATCACGTGGTGAGCTAGTGATCGGGTGGTGAGCTAGTGATCACGTGGTGAGCTAGTGATCGGGTGGTGAGTAATCCAGTGGTAAACCTTCGGTAAGCTAATAATCTGGTGGTGAGCTAGTGTGTGATCTGGTGGTGAGCGAGTGATCACGTGGTGAACTAGTGATCGGGTGGTGAGCTAGTGATCACGTGGTGAGCTAGTGATCATGTGGTGAGCGAGTGATCACGTGGTGAGCTAGTGATCGGGTGGTGAGCTAGTGATCACGTGGTGAGCTAGTGATCACGTGGTGAGCTAGTGACTGACCAGGTGGTGAGCGAGTAAGCTGGTGAGTGGTGAGTTGGTGAGATCTGGAGTTGTGTGGCGTGGAGGTGACATCGCGAGTGAGACCCGATCACGTGAGCATCTCTCTCACCACCACCATCACCACCACCATCACCACCACCACCACAACCACCACTACTCACATCACTACGACCACCATCACCACCCAACATTCACATCACCACCGCCAACCACTCACATCACCAACACCACCACTACTCACACCACCACTACTCACATTATCACCACCCAGCGCTCACCCCACCACTCACATCACCACCACAACCACCACCCACCACTCACATCACCACCACCACAACCACCACTCAACACTCACATCACCACCACAACCACCACCCACCACTCACATCACCACCACCACAACCACCACCCAACACTCACATCACCACCACAACCACCACCCACCACTCACATCACCACCACCACAACCACCACCCACCACTCACATCACCACCACAACCACCACCCACCACTCACATCACCACAACCATCACCCACCACTCACATCACCACCACCACAACCACCACCCACCACTCACATCACCACCACAACCACCACCCACCACTCACATCACCACCACCACAACGACACCCATAACTCACATCACCACAACCGCCACCCATAACTCACATCACCACCACAACCACCACCACTCACATCACCACCACAACCACCACCCACCACTCACATCACCACCACAACCACCACTCACATCACCATCACAACCACCACCCACCACTCACATCACCACCACAACCACCACCCACCACTCACATCACCACAACCATCACCCACCACTCACATCACCACCACAACCACCACCCACCACTCACATCACCACCACCACAACGACACCCATAACTCACATCACCACCACAACCACCACCACTCACATCACCACCACAACCACCACCCACCACTCATATCACCACCACAACCACCACCCACCACTCACATCACCTCCACAACCACCACCCACCACTCACATCACCACCACAACCACCACTCACATCACCACCACAACCACCACCCACCACTCACATCACCACCACCACAACCGCCACCCACCACTCACATCACCACCACAACCACCACCCACCACTCACATCACCACAACCATCACCCACCACTCACATCACCACCACAACCACCACCCACCATTCACATCACCACAACCACCACTCACATCACCACAACCACCACTCACATCACCACCACAACCACCACCCACCACTCACATCACCACCACCAGCAGCCGCTTACTTCCTGGCACTGACCTCACCGTTAGAATTCGCAGCCATCGCCACTTTACCCCCTTCCAAGTTCTTATCTCAGCGCTTTGGCAAAGAGGCAGAGGGAGAGAGACTGTAAGTGATCATTTATAATCGTACGATCTTAGCAAAAAGTAACACTGGAAGTTTCAACAAATTATTTCCATAGACGGTTACTGTTTTATTTGATTAAATTAAATCCCCCACCCACCATGATAACGTGGAATTTCCCACCACCGGATCGATGGAGGTGACAACCGCCACCTCTCCCCCCCCCCCCCAAATTAGTTTATTTGAGCAATTAGCCGCAGATTGATGAATGTCTGAAAGTCAATATCGGTCTTTAAAAAAAAACCACACAAAATTTCGTTCGTGTCCGCGATGAGTGATGAGTAACGGATTAATACTGAAAGCGAGATGCCATATCACGGAGAGAGACCACACAGCGTAAGGGCGAGTCTGTAGTGTGCTGCTTTAAAAAAAGAAATTGTTGTAGCTGTAATTGTCGTTGTATCGATACTCTGCGCAGTTGGTTTTACACTGTGCAGTTATTTCACGACCCATTTTACGATTCATAATCGGGGTTGTTTTTTTTCTTCTGCTGCGCGCTACGTAATCGTGTAAAGTAACAATGTTGTGTCATAGAGCGTCCTCCACCCGACGCAGGCTGAACTGAGCTCCTGTTATCAACCTGATGATACTGGCTGCAATCTCCAGCGAAACCTCGCGCCCATTCAAATGCTGCGAGATGAATTACTCTCCAACAACAACAACAACAACAAAGACAATCGGGATTGCTTCTGAACCGGCCATACATTAGGCCACGTGTTGATTCACGCGACACTCTTGTTCACCGCTCGTGTCGGGTGGAGGAGGGGTTACGACACACACATTTCTACACGATGACATCACCCAAAAGAACCCAATTATCGATCGCTGCACAACCGGTTTGGTTCTCCCCGCGTCGTCTTCCGGGGTTGTACCGCGCGATCAGCTCGGCGCCTCGACCTTGTGCCCGACGTTTCGCTTCCCGGGGCACGGCTCTCGCTCGCAGCCAGGCAGCCAGCCAGCCAGCTAGCCGCGGTGGTTCGAAACGTCGGACATCATCACCACCACCACCGCCGCTATCATCGTGTGCGAGCGACAAGGCGGTGCAGCCCCGCAAGAAGCTCCACACAGACGCACGCGCACGCACGCAACCGCACGGACCGCGCGCAGCAAAATGTTTGTAAGTTTGCCGAAACAAATCCGAGTGTTTTTCGTCGTAACTCACGACGACGACGACCTGTTGTTGACCATTAGGCCTGAAGCGAGCAGGCGGCGGCACGGATCGGCCGTGCGATCGAGGATTTTGAACCTCTACACCGCCCCCCCCCCCGCCACCACCCCTCGCCGGTCACAGCTCTGCGTCTCCTTTCCAATAACAGAGACCGGAAAAACGCTAAGTGAGACTTACAAATTAAATCCATGGGACAGCGCCGTGAATTGGGGGGGAGGGGGACTGGGATTGTGGTTGACGGTTCGATGGCAGGGAACCCTCGACGGCAGTGGCGATGCGGTGAACAACAACAATAACGACGACAACGATGTAATTATTATAATAATAATACTGCGGAGACGATTGCCGTGTTCGTAATGCTGCTGTTCACGCGTCAAAACGAAAAAAAAAACATTACTGTCATCATCATCGTCGTCGTCGTCGTGGTGGTGGTGATTATTATTACTGAATAAACATTCGACCCCCTCCCCTCCGCCCCCACCCCACCCCTCCCCACCCCCCAAGAAAAACCGGAGATAAATCTCAATAATCCGTCAAATCTCAATACTGAAGTCGCGAGTAAAAGAGCCGCAGTCCACGCCTGAGCGATCGTATTTGCTGCAGATGCTCGCGGTTCCACGCGATCGAATCGCTTATGCCGTGTGCGAACGTCTCCTGCAACCAGTTGCGAGAGAGACACAGAGACGGAGGACAGAGAGAGAGACAGACAGACAGAGTTGCAACCGCGAACCCGGTGGGCGAACGGCAGAGGAACGGACTCCGACCCTTCGGCTCGACCGCCTCTCGCTCCGTTGTTCCGAGGGGGTGTGCGACTGATCGTGGCTATCGGGGGGGGGGGGGGGGGGTCTCCATCCGACCAGAATGCTGTGCGCCCCGAGAGAAATTCGCTAAATAAGAAGTGCCCACACACACGCGCACGCGCGCGCGCCCACACACACACACAAAGACAAATATCCCCCCCCCGTATAGCCATAACAGATTATTATTGTTTTGGGGGCAAGCGCTGTTAGCGAGCACCTTACGAAGGCCGGCACGGTACACGAAGGCGTGGATGGCCAGAACCACGCCCGGCCGCCTTTGTCTCTCCCCAGTGGCGATCTTTACACACACACACCAATTTGAGGCTGAGTCGACGACAGGGGGAGACCCCGGGACCGGTTCAGATAATCGTCACTGGGTGTTGGTAGCCGCGAGCGGGAATCGAACTCGGGTCATTGGGTTCGTAGAGCAGCGCGCTAACCGCTACACCACCGCTCCCCCCCCACACACACAGACAGATAGACACACACGCGTGCGCACACACACACACACCCACCCACCCACAGGCGCGCGCACACGCACGCGCGCGCGCGTATACGAGCGCGCAATAGACTCATAATGGCTATAAACGAGCTCACCACGGGAGCGAAAAACACTGGAGGTTTGATAAATGTGACGCCGTGACAGATTGGAAGGAGGTCTCTTCGTTCTGCTCAAGTGTCGGGTCTTCTTCCAACGCTCTCGTCCGGCCGGCTCAACACTGTTTTGTTACACGAAGGGTTTGTTCGAGTTTTACGAGTCATTGTATTTGCTTTGTGAATCATGTTGATGATTATAATTTTTTTTGCTTGTTTATTAGTTTTGTCGCTTTGCTTGTTTGTTCACCCCCCAACGCGCCCCTCACCCCCCCCCCCCCAAAGCCCCCGCAAGTCGCCCCCCCCCCACCCCTCACGACGCCCACTCGTGACGTCACAAAGTCCTCTTCAAAACACACTCACACACACACAACACGCGCGCGCGCATAGTCGCACGTGCTCATCGCGGCTTCGAGTCGAGGTTTCTTTTTAAATCTTCAATGAACATCGGGACGGACGAATTCCCGAGGAGTTATAGAGGTCAGCAGCTACAGATTTTGGCTTCTAAAAGGTTTTGTTTAATTATTTCCCCCCCTCCTCCCCCGCCCCGCCCCTCCCCCCTCGCCCCCCACCCCCCAAATCCCACCACTCCCGGACGGGCCCTCCATCATCTTGCGTTTTGGTTCGGTTGCGTGAGCGGACAACGAGGTTGACGAGTCAAAGTTCATAAGAAGAAGAGATGGAGGGCGTGTCGGGTGAGTCACGTGTCGGTCATCATCACCATCACCACCATCATCACCATCATCATCACTGTGCTACAGTTTTCTTGCTGTTGTTGTTGTTGATGTTTCGCCTTTCGTTTCACCAGACCGTGCCCTCGCCCATCTCCGGGTGCGCCAGCGGGTGACCGTTATAGGGCCCAGGTCCCGCCCCGGGAATGTGGAATGGGGGGCTGGGCCCCGCGCTCACGTACACGTCCCCCTGTGGGACCCCCATGGCGTGCAGGTGCGGCGGTGGGGGCGGCCCCCCTCCGGGTTGAGGCTCCGGGCTGGGGGTGTCCGCTCCCCCACCCCCCCCCCCCGGACCCGATGGGCTTCCTGGTCCGGATCCACCGCCCCCACCTCCTCCTCCTCCTCCTCCTCCACCCCCACCTCCTCCTCCACCGCCTCCTCCTCCACCTCCTCCACCGCCCCCACCTCCCCCGCCACCTCCGCCACCTCCTCCGCCTCCGGGCCCCCCCGCGCCCCCGTGGGGCAGCATGTCTGCGAAGCGAGGCACCCCTCCGGCGTCGGGCCCGGGGATGCTGGTGGGGTGGTGGGGGTGCTGGTGAGGGTGCGGGTGAGCGTGGTGGGTGTGCGGGTGAGCGTGGTGGGGGTGCTCGCCGGGACCCGCGAGCCCCCCCACCGTGGGGAGGAAGGCGAGCTCGGCCGCGCTCTGCGGCTGCCCCGGGGGACCCCCTTGCGGGAAGAAGTCGTAGCTGCTGCCCGGGACGTAGTAGTCACCCTGGTAGTCTGTGGGCAATACGGGGGGGTGAGAAGGGTGGGGGGGGGGGTCAAGTTTAGTATTTCAGCAACGTAGTCTCCGTTGAGCCTGGAGGAATCCGATGAGCTATGAAGCTCTTTGTCTGTAAACGGGACGTGAAGAGCTGCGACATCAACCAAAATGACTGGGGGGAAACTGCCGGCGACCGACTCAGCTTGGCAGCAGGCTGTGAAAACAGGCCTCAGGAGAGGCGAGGAGAAGAGACGCACCGCTTGGCAGACCAAGAGGGAGCGACGTTGAGAAAAATCAACAAACACCTCTGGAGTTGCCACCGCACTCACTTGCAAGTGCCGTGGCAAGGATTGGCCTACTAAGTCATTCTAGGCGCTGCAAAAACCTACAGCTGACCTCGTGAGGCGCAAAAGAATTGTCTCTCGAGACACAAAGGCCGATGATGATGAAGCTCTTTGTCACATTTCGATTTAAAGCTTTCGTGACTGCAGGGATTCATCTTCTTGGTTCTTTCGGTAAAGTCACGTAGAAGGGAAGTAATAAAATAATAAAAATAAAACATAATAAAATTAAAATTTATTATGTTTTATTTTTATTATTTTATTACTTCCCTCTTTGTCACAGATGACCAGATGCTGTTTGGCGAGAACTCAGGTGGAGACCACGATCGAGGCTCAATGGCAAGAAGTCACACGCTGTCTTTCCGACAGCCCTGTTCTTCACCTGAGGACGGCTGCTTGCGTTGTGGCCGAAACGTCGTGAGAATTGTATTTTAGTTTGTTTTATTTTAATTATTTTATTATTTCCCTTCTACGTGACTTTACCGAAAGAACCAAGAAGAAGTCACTCAGGGTCACCAAACTGGAGCCGGCTCCACCAATAATTTCCCAAGCTCTGCGGTTCTCTCTCCCTATATATGTCTATAGTATCAGCCAATCAATGACTGTTTACATGCATGAGTCATTTAACTAGATCCGAAAGCAACCTGAAGTCGCTTCCTACAAAATATGTTACGTATTATTTGTATCGGCCTGAGTCAATCCTTCTTACAACAATTGGTGGAAATTCCACATTACTATGACTGAGGGTGGGGGGGGGGCGGAGTTCTGTCCAAACTGTTGACTTCCAATTAATTGTATCGACCCTAGCAAGGATGATTGGCTGAGTCAACCCCGCCCCCCGCCCCAACTCAACCAATCAGGAGGATTTGAAAACACAAGAAGCACAGATCACCTCCGCGTGTTTTAAACATCATCTCCGCGTGTTCTCGGTAGCTGTCACTCGACACTGCTAACTGCACAAACCCACGCGGGATTGTCGAGGTCACCTAGTTGATGTCGTCCCGATTAGCGTCATCGTCCCGAGCATACGACAGGACAGTTCAGCGGGGCTTTTAAATTACTACACATAGCGGGTGGTGATGGTGACGATGATGATGACGATGATGATGATGGTGGTGGTGGTGACGATGATGATGACGATGATGGTGGTGATGATGACGATGATGGTGGTGATGATGGTGGTGGTGATGATGATGGTAATGATGATGGTGGTGGTGGTGATGATGATGATGATGGTGGTGGTGGTGATGATGATGGTGATGATGACGATGATGATGACGATGATGGTGGCGATGATGGTGGTGATGATGATGGTGGTGGTGGTGATGGTGATGATGATGGTGATGATGACGATGATGATGACGATGATGGTGGCGATGATGGTGGTGATGATGATGGTGGTGGTGGTGATGGTGACGATGATGGTGATGATGACGATGATGATGACGATGATGATGACGATGATGGTGGTTATGATGACGATGATGGTGATGATGACGATGATGACGACGATGATGGTGATGATGATGGTGGTGTAAACATCACAACTCGAGAGGAAAAGGTGGCCGGGCGTGAGGCTGGCCACCCAACCCGCCTTTGTGTGTCTATAAACGTGTCGACCACGTAGCACGTCATGCAAATATGACAGCGTCTCGAAACGAACACGAGTCGGCCCATGATCGCGTGTTGGTGCCTGGTCTGGGAGACTGTTTTTGTTGTTTTGCTAAATTGCCCAAGCTTGCGTTTGGTGATCAAAACAAATCGGCGGCAATTTATCGACTTACGCAATTTGTACTTGTACACACACTCGAGGTTGATAATTGTTTTTTTACCCTTCCATCTGGCAACAAAACTGACACTTTTTTTTACAAGGAGTCGTGTTTGCATAGACCACAATACCTGCAGTCATAATGCAAACAAAAAAAACAACATGACTCCTTGTTAAAAAGGTGTCAGTTTTGTTGCCAGATGGAAGGGTAAAAAAACAATTATCATATTTTTTACTGGCAAATGAGGTTCCAATGGTGTAAACACTCGAGGTTGTTTATCGATTTCCAGTGCATTGATTGGTGTTGTAACTTGCCGACCCCGTCCCTAATTGACCCTTTGCGAAAGAGCTTCACAGCTCATCGGATTCCTCCCTCCAGTCCAAATTAAGAGTCTCATTCTGATCTGATCCATGCCACCAACAACAGGGCGATTTAATTTTAGATTTGAAGCTTTCGTGACTGCAAGGATTCATATTCTTAGGTTTTTTCGGTAAAGTCACGTAGGTAAAAAAATAAAAATTAATAAAAGTAAAATAAAAATAAAATAAAAATCACGACGTTTCGGAGGCAACACAAGCTTCCGTCTTCAGGTATCACTTGATACAGCAATCATGCTGTGACGGTTCCACCTGAAGACGGAAGCTTGTGTTGCCTCCGAAACGTCGTGATTTTTATTTTATATTTATTTTACTTTTATTAATTAAATTTTTTTTACCTACGTGACTTTACCGAAAAAACCTAAGAATATGGCGATTTCAACCTCTGCAGCCTCCGCCCCCTTCTTCTCTATGCCACGCCTCCTGCCCATTAGCCCCGCCCCCTTCTTCTCTAGGCCACGCCTCCTGCCCGTTAGCCCCGCCCCCTTCTTCTCTAGGCCACGCCTCCTATCTGTTAGCCCCGCCCCCTTCTTCTCCAGGCCACGCCTCCTGTCCATTAGCCCCGCCCCCTTCTTCTCTAGACCACGCCTCCTGCCCATTAGCCCCGCCCCCTTCTTCTCTAGGCCACGCCTCCTGTCTGTTAGCCTCGCCCCCTTCTTCTCTAGACCACGCCTTCTGCCCATTAGCCCCGCCCCTTCTACTCTAGGCCAAGCCTCCTGCCCATTAGCCCCGCCCCCTTTTTCTCTAGGCCACGCCTCCTGCCCATTAGCCCCGCCCCTTCTTCTATAGGCCCCACCTCTCGTTCGCTTGCAGTTTTTTTGAAAGCCGCTCCACTCTCGGCAACATGTGCACGTCAGCGCGTGGACACGCGGCACGGAACGTAAATAAACGATCGGTTCTAGCGCGTGAGATGTCCGGGGATTTTAGTTTGTTCGTTTTATCCAATCGATTAATCGATGCGTGCTTACATCTAGTCATCCCGACAAATTACAGTAGCCCCCTGGGCACCGATCTGTCTGAATCGAGTCGCCTCCATCCGCCAATTGCACCACAACACCGCCAAGCTCGGCCCACCGCCCCCCCCCTCCCCCCGCTACAAAACACACAATCCACTGCTGGATGGCGTGTCTGTCATGGCGGTTATTCGCCGCTCCTTCCCACCAAGTTGCGTTATGATTTGTCAACAAAAAATAAATAATGAATGAAACTGAACAGGGGAAGAGGTGGTGGTGGTGGCGCGGTTGGAACGAGGATCGAGAGAGGTGGAAGTTCGTGGTCGTGGAGATGTACGACCGCTCGTGTAGCGATCGAAACGTCGTCGTCGTTGTTTTTGTTATTCTCTTTGAACCGATCTGCGTGACTTTACCGAAAGACCCAAAGAATATGAGAGTGGGGGGCGGGGGGGGGTTCGTTAGGGAGGGTGCGAGGATCTGTAGGGGGGGCGGGCGTGGGGGGGGTACAAGTGGGGGTGAGAGGGGGGGGGGCGGAGGGGGATGAAGAGGAGAGATCGGTGGGGGGAGGGGGGGTAAGAAAGCCACTTCATTCATTCAGCTGCCGCGCCCGTAAGATCTTCATGTGTCGTCAGGGAGACTGTTTGGCATCTCCCGCTCTCAATTGGAGATCGATTTAAAAAGCCGGGGGTGCGGTGGGGGGCTGGGGAGGCGGGGGAGGCGGGGGTGAGGAGTGGGGGGTGAGGGATGGGGGTGAGGGATGGAGGGAGGGAGCCGCCCAGAATAGCAATGGGTGGCTGTTGCCGATGATACGCTGCGTGTCGAAACCGGTCCAGGCGGAGTTTTGCTTGTCCTGAATCAACGCTGGGATCGTGCACTCACAGGAGGATATGGCCTGATTTGGCTTTGCAACAATCGTTGTTTATTGTTTGTATGCGGAGAGACGGGCATTGGAGGGGAAGGGGAGATACATAATAATAGTTGACATTTGTAAGGCGCAATTCATCTGCAGATGCTAATCTGCCCGCCTATTTGTTATTTATTTGTTATTTTCAACAACGACGCTGCCTTTGCTGAGTTTCGGAGAGAGCCGCGGAGGGAGCTGAAGGGGAGAGAGAGAGGGGGGGGGGAGGAGGTTTAGGGAGGCTCAGGGTGATGAGGGTGGTTGGGGGAGGGAGTGAGAGCAGGAATGGCCAAATTTTGTACGGAGATTAAGCGAATAACACGCGGATTTACGCGGCCTACAAGCACCGCAGAGAAAGGGCTCCTGCCATTATCGTCAGTTCTGATAATTTTTTTTCTCTCTCTCTCTCTCTTGTATTTCACTTCACATGCAAATCTCACTGGGGGTGGGAGGGAGGAGAGGGATGGTGGGTGGGGGGTTAGGGTTACTAGGTGTGCGTGCGTGTGTCTGTGTTTGTGTGTCTGTGTGTCTGTGTTTGTGTGTCTGTGTGTGTTTGTGTGTCTGTGTGTGTGTAGGCGTATTGGGGAGCGGTTAGCGTGCTGTGCTACGAACCTGGCGACCCGGGTTCGATTCCCGCTCACGACCAACACCGGTGACTATTATCTGAACCGGTCCT